ATAGTCATGAAAGTCTTCTTTATGACCATAAAACTGAGAGAATTTATGATAGATTTATTCTGCTCTGAGAATAGCATGAAGAGAACACTAATAATTGCTTCAAATTCTGACCCAAGTAAATGAAACCTGCTATGGTCATTGCTAACTTCTATGCTTCCACAAAGCCAAAAACTTTAAAGATGCCGGATATCGTTTTGTTAAGCAGCTTGTCTTCTTACAGTGTTTCGTAGATGAGAAAGTGAAGTCCCAAGATAAAATAGTTTATCCACATATTCATAGCTATTTGATCAGAAATTAAAATAATAGGCAGTTTCTTTCATGCCACTGTGGTGCTTACTGCATTATATGCTACTTATAAAGTGGCAGTGCCAGTTGTATAAATAAATGTAAGTGTACTGTTTTAATGATCAAACAGATGGGTTCCTACTAGTGAGCTCCTACAAGATCTGGAGGACAGCCAATCTCTCTGTTAAATCATTTGTTAAAGACTGGATTTCTAATACTCCAGTCCTCAAAATCTTACTTTTTACTTTGTAGCTAGCACATTTTAGAACTTGAAGAAAAAGGGAAACATACTTTTCACAGGTCCGTAATGAAATTAGATTTTACACAGCATGTATTGTAAGATGGAATTTTGATGAATCTTTCACTTATGCTCTCTTATGAATTCTTTTGCAGATCCCATATGGAAACTCATCAGAACTTATTTTTAACACAGTGCAAGTAACAGATGCAGGCTTTTATGTCTGCCGAGTTAACAACAGTTCCACCTTTGAATTTAGCCAGTGGTCACAGCTAGATGTCTGTGACATCACAGAAGTAACAGAAAGTTTCCAGGGTATGTGATAAGTGAAGTTGCATATTGGTTAGCGGGTCATCTTATTCTATTTAAATGTATGTTTAAAAATAACTTCAGAGTATAACTGTCACGAATGAGTCATTAAGAGTTAACTTCAAGTGGTTTGATTGTCATTTTCTGTGACAATCCCTTAAGATGACATGGACCCTTCTCAGTCTTGTGCCTGATGCTGAACTTGAACTTGCTGACGTTCATGGCCCTGTCCCTATACATGTGGCAGCTATAATTCAAGCTTATTTTCTCCCCCCACTTCTTTCTTGAGTATACCCCCCATTAGCCCAGAATTTCTCAATTCTTTTTTTCACCATAGTGTTCTTTTCTCTTCAGAACATCTCTTAACAACTGTGGACTTTAAAACCATACTTTAAGTGGTCCACACTAAAGGATAGATTTAGATACAACTCTGTTTAAATTGTAGGAAATTTTTGGTTTTATGTTTAACCAAGAGATTTTTTTTCTTTTAATTTAAGGAAGTGTGGATGGTGTCTCAGAATCCAAGTTGCAAATCTGTGTTGAACCAAGGTCCCAAAAGCTGATGCCAGGCAGCACATTGGTTTTACAGTGTGTCGCTATTGGAAGCCCTATGCCTCACTACCAGTGGTTCAAAGATGAATCACCATTAACACATGAAACAAAAAAGCATTACATGGTAGGCAGTTGATTTTTTAGGGGGTGGGAGGGCTGGATTAATCTGTAAAATTAATGGTATAATTAAGATGTAAAGGGATCACTTAAACTCATACTCTTTGGAATGTTTTCAGTACTTTTAGTTCAAGTTCTTTATGTCAGCATTAATTAGTTTCTTGTATTTGCAACAGGGCCAAATTTCAACCAAACTTCAGGATAAAGTGTCAAATATTACTGCACCAAATTTTGCACTGTTAGAATCATTTTATCATTTACTTGTTAATAAAGATAATCCAAGAATGTATAAATTTTTGAAATACTATATTTGGGGATTTTTTAAATACAAATGAATTTTGTTTAAATCAATTTTTAAATTGATATTGAAGAGAAAATATATGTTCTGATATTGATACAGGTTCCATATGTGGATCTAGAACATGAAGGAACCTACTGGTGTCATGTGTATAATGATCGAGACAGTCAAGATAGTAAGAAGGTAGAAATCATCATAGGTAAGCAGTATAGAGTTCTGATACAGAAGATATAATATAAGCTGTATATACTGGAGTGTGTAAGCAAAGGAAACCACTTAATAGTATAAGAACATATTAGAAGTTAAATTGTTTATACATAAATTTTAGAGAATTCATACTAAACTCTCTTAAGTTATATACAAAGAGCAAAACAAAAAAAACTGAAAATTATTTTGTTTAGTTCATTTTAGTTTTTTTTTTTTTTTTTTTTTTTGGTTTTTACGAGACAGGGTTTCTCTGTATTGTTTAGGAGGCTATCGGTCCAGCCCGGCCTCGAACTCACAGAGATCCGCCTGCCTCTGCCTCCCGAGTGCTGGGATTAAAGGCGTGCGCCACCACCGCCCGGCCATTTTAGTTATTTTTAATATTACAGTTTATCTTAAATATTTGTGTCAAAATGTATTCCTTATAGTTCTGAGTTAGAAAGAGATTGATTTGTTGAAAAAGATTTTAATAAAACATAAAAAGTCAGAGACATGTAAATAAAAAATAAAATAATTATTGGCCAGTTTCCCTATTATGAATTGTGTGATTTTGGAGTTGTTTATACTGAATGCATTTATAGTGATGTTTTCAATAGTAGGAAATACTGATGAATGTGTTGCATTGACAGCATGAATCTTTGATGTTTATCTCTGTTTACTGAGTGACTATCCTTTCTAAGACTATGAGTTACAATTTCTGCAAATTTGTTTTCTCTAACATAAGGAAGAACAGATGAGGCAGTGGAGTGCACCGAAGGTAGTATAATCCTTTGGTCTCCTGCATGCTGGTTACTCTGGGGAGAGGTGCAGGGTCCTACCTTACTGAGTGCAGTGATGGAAAAAATACTGGCTCTAATAAGCCATTGGATTGAAGAATACTGTGTCTTACTCCTTAAAGTATGTAAATTTTCTTCAACACTATTGAACAGACATTTCTAAAGTAATCTTCAGGTGTTTTCCTATTACGCATAAGGCCCAAAGCTCCTCCACAGGTTATTAGAAATAGTGAATGTTTGGAATTCTTGATGTTAATTTTAATCCTAATAAAATATATTTAAAATACTGTTATAAATATTTGTTTGGATTATTTTATTTCTTAAGGTACCCTTTAAAAGCAAACCTAGTTTAAAATTTTTATGATGGATATATCATTTGATTCATTTTTATTAAACACTAAATATTCTAAAAGTAATATTGATAAGGATTTTCCAAACTACAGTGTTTTAGATTAATTTACATACCACTTTCACTATGAAAAGAAAACTGAAAATGCATTTTAGCTTAAGCTTCTAACTTGTTTCAATTAACCAGAACATTGTACTTACATTGTAATACTTAAATATCAAAACTTAGATTACCTCACCTTAGTGTACTGTCATATTGATTTACGAAATTAGGGTTGTGGATAGCTAAGTATTTTTTCAATTGCTGCTTCCTTGAACTATTACATAGTCTTTCTTAGGTTCTTCTTGGGTGAAATAAGGTAGTAATGTTCAATCATACATACATTTCCTGGTTTTCCTGTCATTCATCTCTATGGTAGCATGAAACTAATAAAAACTGTTTTGATCCTGATACAGAGTTGTGAACCAGAATTCTCCTATAAAGAAGCTCCAATCCCACCTCTGTTAATCTTACAGAAGGAAAGCCATGTAGAGAAACCTTAACCAAACTTCTCTTGTTGATTACACTTTTTGCTTAATTGCATGCGTTTGTTTCTTTAAACTTCCTAACACATAGGAGACCTGTAAGAATAAATATAAAAGAGCACTCCTGCTTGGCTTCAGAGTGAGCATGTGATTGTTATCCTGCCCTGCTGTGTCTGTAATTGTACAGTTCATTCTGCAGTTGTTTAATGATAAGAACAATCAATTAATAACTTTCAAGTAACTATTTAGAACACAGAGATGACAATGTAGCTAGGAGGTGCTCCAAAGTTTTCAAATGGAAAACATCAGATCCAACTCTTTTTTTAAGAAGCCTGAAAAACTAAGACACTTTATAGTGGATAGGTTGATACATACTGTGAACAGTACCCTCCTTTAAATGGTATTTTAATGTAGAGCATGTGCTGTCTCCTATTCCATTTTGTGTATTTCATTAGAATATTGTTAGGACCAGGGGTGTGCTTGGAAAGGTGAGGTTTTCAACCTGTGATTTACGGTAGTGAGATTATGCAAATTTTAAACAGTCTTTAGAAGGCCAAAAGAAAGGCACCAAGGATGGAATGCAGAATATGACAGAAACATCTAACTGTATTACAAATGTATGAAACATCCTTACTGAAAACAGGCTGGAGTAAGGTCCTGACCTGTGTATCTAGAAACTCATCTATACTATAAGATGAAAGACAGAAAAAACCATACATATTGTATGCACTAGTTAATACCACTGCTAAACTGATTTTATGTAGTATGAAAATACTAGTCTTAGCTGTAATCCCAGCACAAGGAAAACTAAGGTAGGAAAATTTCATATTTAAGGACAGCCTGGACTGCATAGTGAGACCTCATTTCAAACAAATAAACCAAAGAATATATTCCCATGAAATACTTTATGAATCCTGAATCACTTACAACTTACTTTTTTTTGTATGCTTAAAATTTAATAAGTAAAAAACTGGTGATGACTGTTATGTCATAGACTTGTGCTCAGATTATTTATCTGTCCTGTATGAAAAGATACAAGTTAATTCTGAAACTGTTCTGCCTCCCCCAAAAGCACCAGACCTTGGCCTAACCATAAGGAAAACACAAATCCCAATTGTGGAACAATTCTACTGCTCAAAACTGAAATGATCATTAAAAACAAGGAATGTCTGAACAACTGTCACAACTGAGAGTGTCTTAAGTAAATGCTTCTGGTATCTTAAATAGGCCTTGGGGGGAACATAAATGGTTTATTAGTTGTGGTATGCATAATGTACTAACATAAGATGTTAATAGGGAAACTAGGTTTGGCATACACAAGAACCCTCCTCTGTCATAGCCCATAATAGTTCAAGTTTCCTGATATTTTAAAGTTAAAGGGTTTTTTGAAAGATCATTTATGAATAAATATCTAAAACTTTAAACAAATTATGAATGCATTTATTTATTTAGGTTTTTATAATTTAGTGAAACAGTTTAGAAGTCCTGAACGATATAAAAACAGTATTCTTTCTCAGGAAGCAGAGGCAGACACACTTCTGTGAGTTTCAGGCCAGCCTGGTCTACAGAGCAAGTTCCAGGACAGTCTCCAAAGCAATACAGAGAAACCCTGTCTTGAGGGGAAAAAAAAAACAACAACAACAGTATTCTTACCTGTTCCCTATTTGTATGGTTTCTCCATTTAACTTTGAAAAGTTCTAAACTAATAAACTGCTGTAACATAACAGTTCATCCACTGCTTCTTTTAGTCATACTGTTTGTGCTATTGGATTATTTAAAACTAATCTGTTTTTCTCTTACTCTGTTTGTAGATGAATTAAATAATTTTGGGCATCCTGGTAAGTATTATAAAGAGTTTTACTTTAGATTGGTAAGTTTGATATAGTAAAGGTGCTATAGACATTCTTGTCTACATTCTTAGACTACTGCTTACATGAAGTTCAATTTAAGATAAGTAAAATATGAAAATATTACTGATTATAGATCATAATGGTTGAAAAAGTATTTTTGGATAACAATAAAATATCAGTTCTTGAGCTGACAATATAACTGAGTGAGGAAAATTACCTACTGTCATACCCGATTACCTGTGTTTGACTCTTAGAGCCTTTGTGATAGGAGAAGAAAACCGATTCTTTCATGTTTTCCTTTGACCTCCACCTGTACTCTTCCCCACACACACAAAATAAATAAATGTAAAAAAAGATTGTTGTTATTGTGTGTTGCTGGTGACCAGAGTCTTCTCCATGCTATGTCCTGTGCTGAGCTGCACTGCCTAGCATTGACGCTCTTTTCAAATTATTCCGTATTGCTCCTTATAGAAAGAAATACATTGCTTTTAATGTGGAAGACTGGATGCTTATTGATTGAGTGACACATTACATTCCCAAACTGTCAGACACAGAACATCCCTGAAGTGGTTGAGTAGGTGCCTTCACCTGATGAAAGGCAGTTAATGGAGTGGGTTAGCAGTAGATGGATAAATTGGTCTATAAGTAAGAGACTAACAATGGCAGTCTCTATGCAGGTTTTGATCTACAGATTTCTGAACAAGCTAAGCTAAAGAGAAAGCCATCCATCATCTGGAACAAGGACATTCCAGTAATGAGGGTCATGTAAAAAGAGAATGTCAAAATAAGCTGTGGGTGTTCTGAAAGACAGGGATGGAATCCATGAATAGAGTTAATCAAATCACACAGAAATGCATTAAGAAGGCGTGAGGTTATTTAATAATTGTAGAAAGCCTGTTGGGCTCATTATTTTATTACCATAATTAGTTTGCTTCATTTGTTTGGTTCCTGGTGATGGGGATTGTGTTCAGGGGCCTGGTACGTGCTGGCTGTTCACTCTACCACTGGGCTACTCTAGCACCAGTTTGTTTAGTTTTATATTCCATTCAAAGACATCTGTTACTATCAGTTCTGTCTGGATTCTGCTAACTATATGTAAGTATGGTAAGCAAGGTAAACCACCATGACCAACAGATCATTTTTCCTGTAGTATTTTCAAATTCTTGTGAGGCACAGAAAGAATTGCTTCAAATATCCCAAGCTAAAGTCTGTTTTAAAACATCCTATTAATCGTTTCTCTTGGTGTTGATAGAATCCCTTTCCCTAAATTTGTCTGCTGTGTCTTACCCTTTTGAAAAGTTGTAAAATTAATTCATGAAAACTTTAGTATATACCTACCACTAAGTTCTTGACATTTTTCAGGCCTGCTTCTTCTTCTTCTCCAAGATTCAAAGAAACCAAACCTTGAGTTTAAAGAAAATGAATGTATAGTGAAGCTTATAGTCGGCTCCCATAGCATCTGTATTATTAAATGTGCAAGCAAGCTACCCTCCTGCAAGTATTGGGCTCATAAAGAATTGAACTTCATCTTTCCCTGTTTCACTTTCTGGTGGTACTGGAGAGTGAATGTGATTTCATTCTATGTATGAAATGATAAGCCCATATATTTTGTCAAAATCTTTTAATTATAAATTAGCTGTTAGTAACCATATATTCTATATTTTCCTTTTAAATTATTATTTATACTTACATATGAAGTATTGTGACCTGATGCATATGTACAGTGTATCCAGCCTGGTAGTTAACATTTCTATCTGCTTAGATATTATTAGTCTATGTGTTGAGATCCTTCAAGAGCTTCTCCTTTAATTATTGTTAAATTCATAATTGCTAAGAGACATAGTTGCCCTATTATGCCATATAATATTAAATCTACTTTCCTTCTTCTGTTTTTGTGCTCTGTTGTTCACCTTCTGATTGTCTCCCCTCCTTTTTCTAGCCTCTGTGACCTCTACTCTACTATATATAGCATTTTAATGATATCCTGCTGTCTGCATTCATTACCTTTCTTATCTCATTAACTCTGAAGATACATCATGAGTAACAGCATCTATTTGCTCTTTTATCTTTGTATAGATAATAAAGAACAAACAACTGGCCAGCCTTTGGGTGAGTTGAGTTTGAAGTACATGATCAAATGTAATTATAATGTTTAACTCCAATTTTTGATTAACATAAAGGAATTTACAGTATTGAACTTGATTGAAGGACATTGGAGCAGATTTTTATTTTGGATAAAAGAAATTATAGAAGAAGAACCTTTAAAAATATTACAGATAGGGGCTGGAGGGACAGCTCAGCTGTTACAGGTTTGGCTCACAACCAAAAATATTACAGATTTTGTTTTTGGTTTCAAGTCAATTCCTAAGGAGTGAGTTTTGTTTCTTCAACACATAAAGAGAAACATGCATGGCCCATTGAGGCAGAGGTAGTCATTGCTGTTCTGTGGTGAGGTAGAAATTAGGAAAATACCATGTAAGTGGCAATGAGTCTTAAAGTTTGCTTCCCCACCCTCTACAGTTGAAAGAGAAGGATGTAAGGTAAGATTACTTGGGTAGTGACATTTAAGTATGCTTTGGAGAAGACACTAGGGAGACTATCCAGGAGAGCTATTCATAAAGGCTCAGTAGACTAATATTTAGAAAGTAGAGGTAGCTAACATATTGATCTATGGCAAGCAGATTAAAATATGTCTCATTGGCTTTTATCAAAATTTTGAACCTCCTTTTTTGCATTCTTGGTTTTTGAGACAGTATCTTAATATAGCCCAGGCTAGCCTTGAACTCACTATCTAAGGATGACCTCAAATTCTTGGATCTTCCTGCCTCTGCCTCCCAAAATCTGGGATTAAAAATTCAGTGCCCAGCCTGAAACCTTTTTTTTTTTTGGTCAGATTAGAATGGAGGATATTAATGAAGCTAGAGAAAGATTTGTTAGCTAGGGAGGCAGAGGCAGGTGAATCTCCATGAGTTCAAGGCCAGCCTGGTCTACAGAGTGAGTTTCAGGACAGCCAGAGCTACACGGAGAAACCATGTCTCAGAGAGAGAAAGAGAGGGAGGGAGGGTTTGGACAATAATTTTTTTTCAGTTGACCATTTCCTTGTCTAGGTAATTCTACTTGGAAGGGTTGAATTAAAAAAAAATAGAATAAGGCTGATTATGGAACCTGAATAGAAACTACCATTTAGAAATGGAAAAGTATTGGGAGAGTCAAACTAAGACTAAAAATTAAGAATATGGGCTGGAAAGATGACTTAGCCATTAAAGGCTAAAGCTCACAACCAAACAGACAAAAATTCCAGATCAGCTGTGTGGTTCTTCTACGGTAGAATTCGGCTTTAAAGTGAAGACAGACTGGTGAACTGGCCCATCCGTCCGTTTCTGTGTGCCAAGCTCTAGTAATGAGTTTCCACAGTGCACACCAGAGGAAGCAAGAGTTGGGATTTGGAGGAATTAACCAAAGGATAAAAACTGCATAGGGAGAGAAAGGTTAATAAACAGAAAACATTAGGAGTCAGGACATTAGATTTACTGAGTTGGAGGGGAAAGTACAGCAGGAACAAACTGTTAAAGAGCGGGTGTCTTACTTAGGATTTCTGTTGCTGTGGGAAGATACCATGACCATGGTGGCCCTATTTGTTGTTCTTTTTATTTATTCTTTGTGTCTTTCACATCATGTATCTCCATCCCATTCATTTCCCCATCCCTTCATATCCACCCTTGGCCCCCGCAACCCCCCACCAAAATAAAATAAAATTTAAGAGAAAAAAGAGAGAAGGAGAAAATCAGTCACATCATGGAAGCTGAAATGTGACACAGTGAGTCACACAGTAAACCCTTTTATCCATGTATGTTTACTTGCAAGTGTTTATTGCAGAGAGTCATTGGTCTGGGTTAAGTCATTGATCTGGTTCAAAGCCTCTGGTTTCTGCTACACTATTGATGCTGGGCCTTCACTGGGACTCCTCTTGGTTTTCCTGCTGTTGCCCTGTGTTGTGGAAATCCTGTGGGACCAGCCCCTTCATGTGCTCCAGCAGATCACAGATGGGGTGGATGTTGTGGTGGGCCAACATAACACTGGTTCTGGGCCTGGATAGTTGCAAGGTTGGTCAGCCTGCCAGCTCTCCCTTATCCTCACCACCAGGGTGAGCTCTCCTGCATTGTCCTGGCAAGTTCACCTCTTATGACCATGAGCAAGGGGCGCAACCAGTTCCTCCTGCTTTTATGTCGTCAAGGTTGGATCTTCCACACCTCTGCCTGGCAGGGTTAGCTTCCCTGCGTTGCCCAGGTATAGCATAGGGGTCACTCTCCTGAGTGCTGCAGCTGATGAGGGGCAGGGCCAGCTCTCCCTCAGGTCACCATAGCAACTCTTATAAAGAAAAACATGTAATTGCGGTGACAGCTTACAGTTTCAGAGGTTTAGTCCATTATCATCATGATGGAAAGCATATCAGAGTGCAGGCAGACATGGTGCTGGCTACATCTTGATCAGAAGGCAACAGTAAGTGATCTGAGACATTGGATATGGCTTGAGCATATATGACAACTCAAAGCCTACCTCCTTGGTGACACTTCCTCCAACAGGGCCACATCTCATAGTGCCACTCTTTGGGGGCTATTGTCTTTCAAACCACCACAAGGGGGTTGTAGAAAAAATAAAGTACATTAGATTTGCGAATGTGTCAGCTACTGATAGCAAAGCGCAGGGATGATCACAGTATCAGGCAACAGTAAATGTGAAGGCCCGTGATGTTGAAGACACGGGGCTACTAATTACTTTCTTTAAAAAAGCTGCTAGCTTGCATTCATAACGATAAAATTTCATGTAGTCCAGTTCTGTTCTTTCCTTAGACTCCCAGCTGTTACTTGGTAAGAAAGACCAGCTGTAATAGTGTTGTGAACAGAGCTATAGCTATAGTGAGAAGTGCATGTGATAATTACATATACAAATGCCAGGCTTAGATGTAACTGAGCAGATTCTGAAAGTTCAGCAGTAATGATTACTGATTTTACCTTATGAAATGTATAATTTACTCCTGAGATGGAGACTCTGTCCTCATTTTTTGTGGATGAAAGCTTAGCCTCACACATGCTAAGCATGCACTCGAGCACTGAGCTGTGCTCCCGGCCCCGTTGTCCTTTTCCCAGTAGATGTTCAAGAACTTGTGGGTGGCTCTTATAGTAAATGGTTTTTATAGTAAATTTATCATCTAAAACTCAATATGACTCCTTTATGTACTTGCCATTTTGAAATTTTCTTTATTCCTCTCATTTCCTCAAATTCAAAAATTACTATTTCCTTCCTCTGTCTGGTCACTTCGCCACAACCATTTTATTTCCTAGAATGGGACTTTGTCATCTTGTCTCATCCTGTCTCTACTTCTCTATTCTAAGTCCACTTCAGTTCTCCTGCCAACCAGGTCAAGGTAAGACCCAATATCTTCCTTACCAGTAAACTTTAAAAGGTTATATAATCTAGCTTTTAAAAATTATCATTGACAAAAAAATTTGCAAGAGTTTTGGGCAATTATTGATATTTTCACATTCTTGGAGTCTTGTATTCTATAAATCATTCTTTCCCAAATAGTTAGTTACATATCACTGAATGATAGAGTTATGTCTTGAGAAAAAAATGCATCATTAGACCCTATAGGTCAGTTTCTCAGTTTTGTTCCAATGCATTTAAGAAACAGTAAATGCTGAGATATATGAGGCTGCTGTTGACAGACCATGATATGCTGTTAAGAAGTAACCTTTTTTATGTGTAGAAGTCATATACTTTATAATAATGATAAATTTATCATTTTAGAATAAAATTTAACATTGGAAAGCATTATATAGTAAATATATAAACCAGTAGTGTAGTTTTTAATGACTACTATGAAGTATTGTATGTTGTATGTAATTCTCTGTGCTCTAATTTTATGCAGCTGGCAGTGCATAGGTCTCTTGACACTTTGCCGCTACTGTCACCACCCCAAGACTGTCAAGAAAGATGCAATGTGAAATCTCTTAGGCACTAAGCTTTACCCATAACCGTTCAGGCCAAGCCATACCTCTAAAAAGGCTAGCTGATACTTTTTAAGGCATAAGTACATGTTTGTCTGCCCCACCCCAAAACACCACTTTCTGTCTGAGCAAAATCAAAAAATTAACCTCAAAAAAATTCCTCAAGTCCCCTTATCCCAAGCAAACAGGAAATACATCTTTAAAAAGTTAAGGAGAACTGGCAAGATGAAAGTTCGCCTCTGAACTACACACACACACCATTGTGCATGTGTGGCCACATTCACATAATGCTGTAATGATGATGATGATGATAAAAATGCTTAAGTTTAGAGGTAGGAGGAAATATCCATCCACACAACCACTATAGGAACAGATGTGGTCCTTGTGAAGTCCCTTCTTTTCTCTCTTTGGTCTCTCCTCTCCTAGCTCTGTGAATTCTCCCTACCCCTCTTTAGGCGTTGCTTTGTTTTACTTTCTCCATTCTCAGTGAAACAACCAATCCCATGAATGCACACTTTGGTATATATTTCATATATACCTAATAAATATCCTTTGTCTGATTCCCAAAGAAAACATATTTAGTCTTAATTTTTTAATGGTTTAGCCTGTTGTATTCTTAGTCTTCTATGTAAAGTAGTATCTCTAAAATTAAAATTAATATAGTAAGTCTTACTTGAAATAAAACACTGTGGTCTTAAAGCCAAGTTTTTCATTTTAATACTTGTATAAATTTTAATCTTTATACCCTCCTTTAATTCCTACCTTCTCCCCACCTTTTTCTTACAGCGAAGGACAAGGTTGCCCTTTTGATAGGAAATATGAATTATTGGGAGCACCCCAAGCTTAAAGCTCCTTTGGTGGATGTGTATGAACTGACCAACTTATTAAGGCAACTAGATTTCAAAGTTGTTTCGTTGTTGGATCTCACTGAATACGAGATGTGTAATGCTGTGGATGAATTTTTACTACTTTTAGACAAAGGAGTATACGGTAAGATATTTTTAATACTCATTTTTATAATTATATGCCATTCCTATTAAACACGTTAAGAGTTGGAAGTCATGGACTTAAAAGATGAGTCAGCAGTTAGGAGCACTTGCAGCTCTTCCAGAGGACCTGAGTTCAGTTCCCAGAGCCCACATGGTGGCTTACAACCATCTCTGACTCCAGTTCCAGGTGATCTGGAGCCCTCTTCTGGCACAAAAGTGGTACACAGGTAAAACATTCTTGCATACAAAAAACAAATGAAAAATAAAGAGTTGGAAATCAGATAAACATACTGTTGAATTGGAGGGTTTTAATATTCTTGTTTAAAAAAAGGATAAATTTTATCTTTATTCCATATGAATATTAATTAACTTAATATCGTCTGTGTTTTTTTTATCTTGATAGAACAATATTCTTTTGTTGTTGTTTCGTTTCTTTTTCGAGACAGGGTTTATCTATGTTACAGCTCTGGCTGTCCTAGAACTTTCTTTGTAGACCAGGCTGGCTGTGAACTCAGAGAAATCCATCTGCCTCTGCCTCTCAAGTGCTAGGAGGATTAAAGGTGTGCACCACCACCAGCACAATATATTTTTTATAAAAATTCTCATAAAAAGTCTTACCTGTCTTTCATTATTTTATTTTTTTATTGGCTGTAAAAGTTACCATACAATTATTTAGAAATTTGACCTTGTAGATTATCAGGTAACAAAACATTCATATATGCTTGAGATATATAGATTCTTTTAAATATAAATGGTTGTGATAGAATATATATTGTATTTGCTTCCTTTATCTAATGGTATTTTCTAGTTGTTTTTTAGGATCTAGAATTTAAGAAGGAAATGTTGGAGAGTGGGTTTCCTTCATGTCCATCCTAGTCTACTGCCCTATGCTGGGGGTATAACTCAGCCTATAAAGTCTTTTACATACTAGGAAGAGGCTCTCACTGTGTATAGACCCAGCATTATCAGCTAATTAATTAAAATTCTGTGCAAATTTAATTCAAGATGTAGCCATAAATATTTAATGGTTTTCCTTTATTCTTTTACTGAAAAGAACTCAAAATACTGTAGATCTGATAAAGAATTTTGTAAACCAGAATATGCTGATAGTAGTAAGAATTTCCAGTAATTTATTTCTTATAATGTGTGTAACCTTGAGTTTCGGAAGGCCAACAAATGAGTTCATTCCAACTGTCTTTCAGATTGTACTTACCATGACTTTGTTAATATTTGACTGCCCAAAATGTAGCATCTCCTGGCCTGGAGTTAGGCTTGCAGATAATAAACAAAAAGTGTCAATCTGACTCTTCTACATTTCAATTTATTTTATTTCAATAACTTAAGAGATTTCACTTTTTTGTTTACAAGTAGGTTAGCATGGTGAAGTAAACTTGGTAGAATTTTTAATGATTTTTGAAGTAGAATTTTTAAAGAAACAAAAACACCCTTTTTCGAGACGGGGTTTCTCTGTATTTTTTTTTTTTTTTTTTGGATTTTCGAGACAGGGTTTCTCTGTATTGTCTTGGAGGCTGTCCTGTAGACCAGGCTGGCCTCGAACTCACAGAGATCCGCCTGTCTCTGCCTCCCGAGTGCTGGGATTAAAGGCGTGTGCCACCAACGCCTGGCTCTCTGTATTTTTTTTTAGAGGTTGTCCTGGAAGACCTTGAACTCACAGAGATCCTCCTGTCTCTGCCTCCCAAGAGCTGGGGTTAACGGCATTCGCCACCAATGCCCATCTCAAAAACCACCCTTTTGAGATTTAGCAAACTGTTGGCTAAGGGATGGTGAAAAGCCTTAAAATTTAATTTAAATTAATTTTCTCCTCTCAATAAGGAGGGTTACTATTGCAGTACACATGAATAGCAAGGCAGCTACTTCAGGTTTTCCATTTCTACCATTATGCTGATTTTGAAACAAAAGTTTTCTTGTGTGTTATAAATTGATAATTAATAGGTGTATTCATCCATTTTTCTTACAAAAATGGAAGACAGCTAGAGAGATGGCTCAGCGGTTAAGAGCACATGCTGTCCTCCAAGAAGACCCAAGTTCAGTTCCCAGCACCCACATTGGGCAGCTCACAGCTGCCTGGAACTCCAGCTTCAGGGGAATCCTATGCCTCTGGCCTTGGTAGGCATCTGTACTCACATATATATACTCACACATGGGAATATATACATAATTTCAAATAATAAAAGTAGATCTTTTTAAAAATAGGAAAGCATATGCGATACAAATAGGCCTTTTGACAACTTGCCTATTCTAACAAGAAGTGTGTTTTAGTATGATCAAAATGTGTTTGAATTTGAAATTTGTTTTAAATAGTGAAAAGTATAAATAATAATGATAAAAGAAATTGTCAAAGAGTAAAGGAAAAGGAATCATGGTATTAGGAAGGGGCCATGGAATGCACTTTGAGAAAACTTGTCTACAAGAGTATTCACTCAGTGAACTCTGCATCCAGCTAAGCGCAGTCTCGCCTTATCTGAGTCACGTGACAGACCTCTTCCACAGTCCAGACCCAGGGTGGGGCCCTTCTCTTCCCAGCATTCATTGTTGGACACTGTAGGATGTGGCTACAAAACTGATGACTACATTTGATAAAATAACCTGTGAAAATGTATTTTTGAGAACTTAACTTACTTTGTATGAGTCTTCAGTAAATGAAAGTTTTTTTTAAAAAGTAGACCGCTTGAATATGTTATATAATTTATGTTTTTAAGGTGCCTGTTTGACTTATATAGGGAATTGCTTCTAAAACTTCTCTAGAAACAATGAGATGTAAGGAAAAAATGATATTGATTTAAGTTAAATTTAAGTTTCTGGATTGGTAAAATATCTAGAGTGAGAGAATTATACAGTTATTTGCTAAGTTACTCTTTTTTTACTGCAATCATCATATCATTTTTCAGCTCTCTGAAAATTTAAGTCAGAACTTTTAATTGCCCTATTATTAAGCAGAGAACCAGAACTGTAAAGGGATGGTTAGGATACAAGATTTCAGTTTGGCTTTTACACTTTGCACACAGTCCCCGCTATAAAAGCATCAGTTTGGAGTATAGGATAAAGAGCAATAAATAATAGAACAAAGGGCAACTTAAGGAAGCTAGAAAAACTTAAAATCCTGATTCCTGTCTTAACAGGGTGGCTGCATTATATTTTGAAGTATTGTGACTACCCAAAACATCAGACACATCTACATTAAATGTAAGTGTGGTGAAGGTTTCATGGTGTAGGGCATGCCATAAAGAGACTTCATTTGTCTTTTGGTCTGTGCCTTTTATTTCTCCTGATATCCCCAGGTGACTAGTGTTCCTTTAGGGATGAGAAGGTAAAGGAGTTTCAGCATGAAGAATTTGAGATACAGAAAAGTGTAGACACAGTGGATACTCCCTTATTGCCCATTCATTGTAAGAGAAAGAAAAATTATAGTAGAACCAAAAAAAATGTGTAATTCAGCCTGTAGCATGTAAACCAGCAAAAACAAAACAATAGAAACAATGTACTTACAAATGTATGAATAGTTATCTTACACAGATAAATAGGAGGAAAAAAGTAACTGTATGGCAGTCTATCCACCTCACCAAATGTGCTTGCATATTCATTACTCTTGCAACTTACCTATGTCTTTTGTGCAAGAGAATATTAAATGAACTTGGTTAGAATAAAAAAAAAAAAACATTTACCCTGGAGTCAGTCATCTAGTTCAATGTAAGTCAATGGTTAAGCATTGGAGTAAACTCACCCATTTATTAGGCAATTTTTCCAAACTAAAACTGATCTATAAAGTGGCTAGAAGTCAATTATCAAAGCTGTTAACAGGAAAAAATTACCCTCATGCTTGATACACTCAAACTGCCTATGTTATTGTGTCCATTGTTACCATTATTACAATTCTTGAAATTTTGTTAAATAGAGATCTGGCTCAGTAGGTAAAGTGTTTGCTGCATAGGCATAAGGACCAGGGTTTGATCCTCAGTACCTATCCAAATGGCAGGCTGCATTGAAGACTGCCTGTCGTCCAAGCACTTGACAGACAGAAACAGGATCACCAGAATAAGCCAGCTGACTAGACAAATTGATTATCTCTGGGTTTAAGGAAGACACACAGGAGCAGCTTCTGGCCTCTATACACATGCACACACTCATGCATGCACATCTCTATACAAGTGTGCACACGGACATGTAAACATGCATATACTCACGACACATGTATACAAACACACTCAAAATCTATTAAAGGAATTCAAACTGCCCTTTAGATTGGAGATTTGAACGAGGTAGTACTTTGGGCCTTGACTAGAGAAATCCAACTCATCAAGTTTTGTATATTAAGAGTCTGCCTAAGATTTCTTTGGGGGAAAATAACAGGGTTGGGGATAAACTATATTGTAGTCTACACAATGAAATCAGTACACACACGTTAATATAAGCTAATATAAGCCAGCACACTGATCAAGCTTACCTAGTTGTCTGATTTAGTAGTCCTTGGGATTTGGATAAGCTTTTAAACCTCTTGGTGTCTCAAGTTCCTTTGTATGCAAAAAGGGAGTGATGCCATTACCTGCCTTGTTATGAAGAGTATGTGAGGCTCCCAGGGCTGATGATTTGATATTCTCAACAGAGCACTCTGCAAAGTAGAATGTAAATCCACTTGAGTAGGAGAGGTTTATTACTGTTTTTATTTTATTGATTTGCTTTGTTCTGGTTGAGACAGTTTCCTTATGTCCTAAACTGTCCTTAAACTCGGGCTTCTCCTGTTTTAGCTTCTCTAGTACTGAGATTACAGCTATGTGTCACCATCCAAATATTTTATCTGTAGCCAAAAATAAAAAGCTGTGTTTAAAAAAAAATTAAGGTACATGTTTGGTGATGCACACTTTTAATCCTAGCATCTAGGATGCAGAGACAATCAGATTTCTGAGTTCAAAGCCAGCCTATGCTATATGGTGAGGTCTAGTCTAGCTAGTATTACATAGTGTTTTGTTTTTCAAGACAGGGTTT